GGTGTCCGTAAAGCGGGATTTGACTGTATGGTGTTACCAGCAGCTTCACACGATTCAATGTGTTAGCTAGGGTATTTTGGAGTTAATAAACCCTCCTTTTATTGATCTTAATAGGTCTTACACTGACAATGGACAAATCGAGGTTTATCCAGCGGGTTCCCGAGGCGAATCGATTTACAGTCGGATCAAACAGCTTCCAGGCCATCATATTTACACGTATAGATCTACCATACCTAAGGTTAAGTGACCAAGTTCTTGATCTAGGTCGTCGTCAATATCTTCAAACACCAGATCGCTACTTTTAGCCTTTAGTGTAAAAAAAAGTGGTTAATGACTTTGGTGCAATTGCTGTAACCTCCAAGTGGAGGTTCGACCGTTCATCTACTGTTCAATAATCATTATTACCTTCTGATTCTTCAATGTACTGGTGACAGGCTGGTTTCTAAGCAGAAAAAACAAATAGTTGAAAATCTGCAGGACTTGAACAAACAGAGGGAGACCTGATTCTAGAATGTCAGTGCTGAGAACATCATTCAACTTATAATTACCTTGAGATGTCATTTGATGTGTTTCTTCTATGATGCTTAGCTGAAATATCTTCCCTGAAAAAATGAAAAATAGAAATAAACAATATACTGCAACATCATCCTTACTGATATAATTTTTGAGTACACAACTTTTTAAGCACAAATAATGTTAAACACAAAGTATGCTCTATGCAGGCAATTATTACTTCTGTCTCCCAAGTTATTTTAAAATAGGGAAACAATATTTTTTTGAGTGATACTCACGGTCTATGTTTTTCTCTTCCCTTTCGGTCAACAGGAACATCCTGCATATTGTGAAGTTCATCAGTCTGCAGAAAAGGGATTCTATTGTACAAATGTAAGACATTTCTTGACTTAACGACGGAGACCTCATTTCCAGAGGTCGACATTATACTCAAAAAGTCTTAGGCACATTCGTTTAGGTTAGAAACCTGACACTCAAGTAAGTATTTAGGTAACCTATAGGTACCCTGCGAGCAGAGGTCACTCTCTTGCACGGCTTTTAGCGTTTACAAAGTCGTTCGCGTGGCTTGTCTGTCGCGTAGTTAGTTTGTTTACGTCTCACGGGGCGTAAAGGAACTAACCACACGGCAGACAAGCCACGCGAACCGGCGACTTCGTACACGCTAAAAGCCAAGCAAGAGAGAGACCTCTGCTCGTCGGGTACCTATACGTGAACTTTCCATAAAGTCCTTCGTCCGAGACCTCTGACGACTTCGTCGCTCGTTTAGAAACTCGTGAGGTCGACTTGTGGCAAGTCTAGCCTATATTTAACTGGCAGAATCAGGTGGTTAATATAATTAGCGGTAATCAGCCACCGCATATGAGTGCAACTCATCCCCTTTCTGATCGCGACATTATACAGCCAAGGCAACGACAAATAAAAGCATCTAAGGAATTACTCGGTCGCGCGCCCCAAGTCCCCTCAACTCTACTATGCAGGCGAGCATTGAAGAACAGGCTCAAGAAATTTAAGTTCAAAGATGGGCGACACTCCGTAAACCTTTAAATCTCTATTGTCAGTTTTCTCCTTTCGCCCCGCCGCCAGAGCACCTAAGAGAGCTTGCTAGCAGGCTAATTTTCTTCGAACAATATCATTTAAAAGCAAAAGAAAAAAGCAATGAGAATCAATGAAATGATCAGCCAAATTAAGAGAAAATGCTTTGATCTTTAAACAAATTCTCCCGACTATAAATGCCTTAAGGGGTCAATCAGGGGTGTCTCACGTCAGAATAGGGAGCTTAAACGGAGGCGTTTTTGAGCGACGCCATCTGCCCGAAGTGAGGCGCTTTTAATATGCCGCCTTGATGCTATAAAATTTATATTGCTTAGTTTCTTAATTTGCCTAAAAATTTGGGCAAATCTATTGCCCAATAAGGTAAAGAAAGAAAAAATCACATAACTAACAGAACGTAAATCACACAGACTTTCTGAATGACCATAAGCAGAGAACGGACATTGTCTGTATAAGCTGACGCTGCAAAGGAGTCTGCTTTTAAAAAAACGAAAACCGCCAGAGAAATGTTGGGAGCTTCAAAAAAGTAGCAGACGTAGTTATTTTTTGTACAAAATATTTACTATATTGGATGTGATACCAAGTGAGGACGGCCATGTTGTTTTTAATTGGTTTAAAAATGACGTAAAAATTCTGTATTTTGGTGGGGTAGAATTGCTTTTTGGTAGGAAGTTTTAGGTCATGCAGCTGAGGATCAGAATCAAATCCGATCTTCCAGTTGGTAAATAAACCATCCTGGATCAGCCCACACGAAGTTTTACAGTCGTGGTTGATTGATACAGTCTATCATTTATTAGTGAAGAATAAATAAGGGAGGGGGGGCTTAATAGAGAGGGGGGCTTATTAACTTTCTTCCCTTGAAAAGGGGGAGCTTATTAGAGGGAGGGGGCTTATTTGAGAGGGGGGGGGGCTTAATAGAGGATTTACGGTAGTATTATACCATGCAAGCTTCTTAAGAGTATGATGTTCTTTCTATGTGCCATGCAGTTACAATAATGATGTAGGATACATGTAGTAAATTCACCCATTCACCCACTCCTGGTAATTTTGCTGGAAAACGCCTTTTGAAGCTCGCTGTTTTATGGTCACCGTATTGCCACTGTGTGAAGGATTCTCCTCTATTCAATGACCTTAATTATAGTTGAATAACTTATATGACTTGATTCCATTTTAGATAAGGACGCAAAGGACCTTGCCATTAATTTTTGGAACAGTAAAAAGATTTGTTCTTTTCGGTGACCATGACGGAGATGTCTTTGCACTGGAGGAGAGATGGAAATAGTTCAGATAATCTGTTTCACGGTCGCATTACTACAGACCACTTCAGTTCATGCCCGTCTATAATAGACAATGCTGTTACGACTGTTAAACTCTTTAAGCCCCAATATTCAAATACCAGTTCTCCAGACTGATCTCCATACCTTTCCCTAAAGAATTGGTTAAGATAATTTGTTTGTAGATCAAAGCTTTTCCCATCAGGTGATCATTTTTATTATTAATTCTCACAACATTTTCTCTTGATTCTCTATGGATTTTGTACCTTAAGGTTTTTATAAGTGATTTTCTAGACTCTAATTTGAGCAGTTCTTGTGCAACTCCTTCTTGTTAATATCTTGACAGCTCTTTCATATTATTTTCTAAAATATAGTTAATTCATCACACATTGTACTCACTATTATCTATCTTCTCAATGACTTGGAGCCTTTAGCTAATTGTCGCTCGCTTGCCCGCTTCTCGGCCTATAAGTACGCTCCGCTCACTAAGAAACTCGTGAGGTTGACTCGCAGCAAGTCTAAGGATCGTGGGATGTTCCAGATACTCATCTAATGATAATATTAGTTAGTATCAATACTAGGTACAGGTACCGGAAAATGAAACGTTGTCGTTGTTGTTGAGAAACCAACTCTCCCCAGTTTGTTTCTATAAAGGTTGTGTTTTTTTCACTTTGGAAATAGCTACTGTAGTCAGTCCAAAATTGTGGTGCACTTATTTACCTATTCACCCTTGGGAATTTTGTTGAAAAACGCGTTTTAAAGCTAGTCGAGCCGTTTTCTGGTCACTGTCTGGCTGTTAAGAGATAAAACATGCCACAAAGCCCTTTACAGGTCCTACACTTGGCGGCCTTCTTATTATTTTGGGCATACGCAGGAAGCAAAGTTCCGATGAGTTTAATAGTGACACAGGAGTCCTGACTATTTCTTTTCACTTTCTCTCCTCTCCACTTCTTTCGTTCTTCTTGCTTCGTTTTTTCTTTTGCCGGGCATTTACAACTGTAGCAGGATTCATTTTGTCGGGAAAAGTTTTTGGGAAAGCTTTTAGGATGAAAGGAAAGGTAGGTGGGTAGTGGAAGAAGAATTTCATGGGAATTTTCGCGTCAGCTTTACTGGTTTTTTGCCTTTTCCCCAGTCTCCTTTACTGAATCGTGCTTATCTAGTATGGTTTGAAAGATCTCTTCACCCTGCACAAAGTTGTCCTTTACCGTCAACAATTAAAATGCCAATAACAGTGACATTTACATGTTTAAGCTTGTTCCTTGTTGAAATTTCTATGCTAGGAGCCAGTCTCTTTGTATGGAGACACAAAATTCTTCTCCATGGCCAAGCTGGATCGCTCACTTAGCCTTTCTACGATTAAAAAGTTCGTGGAGGAAGAAGAAGCAAAGTAAGCTGATAACTAGCTCTAACGAATGGTTTAATTCTTATAACAGTTACCTTTAAAACAATAATTTTACCATACTGATCTTTCTAGCAATTAATCGAATAAAGCAATTATTAACAGACTTTAAGCAAATGGTTTTCATGGTTTTGGCGCTGTAAATTGACTGGTCTGAAATGTTATACTTCTCCACCCCTAACCCGTGGGGGGCGCGGGGGATAGCAGAGAAGTCTGAATTCCGAGCGTTATAATGCCGTCCGGTGACTTCACCTACTTTTGCGAATACGGTAGGTATTTTCTGATTGGCTATTACCCTTCCGAAAACCTTCCCAAAAACATCCGGTTTGACAGGATAAACGAGACTTATAATTGCTGTGTGAAACATGACCTTAAGGTCAGCGGAAGTTAGCCTCTCCTCACAAAGTGAAGACTTATACTATAGTAGCAACTGATAAATTGACTGCCATGGTAAAGGAGAACACACCTTTTGTTACTTGTTGTTTCTATCAATTGCAGGCCTAGGCCAAACGTTTAAATTTCGACGTCTGGCTTAGTTACCTTCGTCTAAATGAGTTTGGATCGTCCAACACGTTCTAGTAAGGAGAGGTCAGGAGAGTTCTCAGATTAAAAGCGACTCTTCTCTTTTGATACGTTTAAGCTCCAGCTAAGGGTGAGAAGAATGAATTCTCTGCCTATGTTATGTTGTCCTTGTTGGATCAATTGCCCCACTCTACACTTTGAGACTGTAAAACTGTCCTTTCAGGTTGCCAAGTAAACTGGTTATAGAATGGTCTGAAGATGACAAGCTGGATCCTAACTCGAAAATCCCAGCAGGAACCACCATAGGTGTGTACTTCTCGATAAACGATAAACTCTGTTGTATTAGACAATTTTCTTGGTTGCTACGCAGTTTCAATTTGAAAATTAAAGCTGACAGAAAAAAATAAACGATCTGCGGTGTCGGACTCACTCTGAGTTCAGTTCAACGGTTAGGAAAAGGCGATTGAAAATTAATATACGTAGGTCAGGTTTGAAATGTCCTAAATCATTAATTTTTCTCAGTCCTAAAGTAATTAGAACCGCTAACTTCCCCAACGATAGCCTGCGTCGAGATCCCTGATATACACTACACGTATATCACGTTTTAAAGTCTAGGTGTCGACTAGCATGTCTGGCTGCAATTCAGGCTACAACAATGAGTGATTAATTTATTCTTGGCATTATATTATATGCTTATTTATATGGTCTCAGCCTTTTTTTTTTTAAGAAAGTTGCTTTTTGGCGACCAATATTTGGAAAAAAATTAGGGGAAAAATTCGGTCGGAAAAAAATGAGGGGTGGGGTTGTGTGGGGTGGGGAGGGGAGGCGGATCAATAAAACAGGATACAATGTCTTACCTTTCTTGAACATGTTGAATGTATCACTGCATTGTTTTGACAAGCAGAACTGAAGCAGTTTTGCCCTCTTCCCAAAGTAATACTTGCTGTTGTTGTTGTTTGGTTTGGTTTGTTTGTGTATTTTTTTTCTTTTTCGCAAAGTTGATTGCAACACTGCCGTTCGTCTTGTCTTTTAAATTTCCTATGTATACTAGCTCCTTTGGACGATGTTGTGGCGTCTCGCTTTCCTTATGTTTCTACGTACGTCAATTGGTTTGCATAATGTTAGTCTTCCTCTTCTTTAAGTTTCTCTCTGTGTTAGTTAGGCCTAGGCCAAACGTCGAACCACTTCAGTGGATTCCGTCAACAGTCCCAGAAGTTAGAACTGCTGTACAAAACTTCATTATTCTCTTCGGGGGTACGTGTAGGTGTGAACGGGTTGATACTTGTTTCACTGTATCACTTTTCGAGGAATATAGCTTGCTGTGAGCCCTGGTGGCTTCACTGCCATCTCAGAAACTTAGTGGCAACTTAAACGGTGTATTTTCCATTTCTTAATCAGGTGCCATGAAAGTGGACATTTTAAACGGAAAGGGTGAATCTATGAACAAACTGCCTGGTGACAGAAGAAGATTGTTGGTAGAGTTAAAGGTCATTTGGCATGGTAAGAGATAAATGCTTTACATTGTAAGGAGAAGCACATGATTTGTGACGGTCTCGTAGTATGCATTGCTGGCTGCTCGTAGCAATAAGCTTTCATCTTTTTTTTAATCAAGTGTTGACAAAACGTTAGGTCTCCATTGGCACAAAATACCTCTCTCAAGAGTTAAGAAATTCGTGTTTGCACTTGGTACTTGTGAGTACGAGGACGATATTTAATTTTAAGTTTTCTCGCCTATTCTCTAAAAATAGACACCCCAGAAAGCTTCGTTGTACTCAGTTTTTTCATGACAAAAGTTAATCAAGTGTTGACAAAACGTTAGGTCTCCATTTGCACAAAATACCTCTCTCAAGAGTTAAGAAATTCGTGTTTGCACTTGTTACTTGTGAGTACGAGGACGACATTTAATTTTAAGTTTTCTCGCCTATTCTCTAAAAATAAACACCCCGAAAAGCTTCGTTGTACTCAGTTTTTTCATCACAAAAGTTAGCACGCTTAGTTCCGTTGAAGAAGTTAAAGCCCTCTCCCGACGGCTAACGATAAAATTCCTAAAATTTGATAACCTGTTTTCGTCACAACGACATTCGCGCTTAAACTCGTGGTAGAATGACGATGACTATCACAGTTTCCCGCCAAATTGACTTTGGTTCACGTGTACGCTATACTTACTATTGGGAAAATCTCGTTCTTGTAGTCGTCCTCATCTTAGAATCTAAAGCTCTGTATTTTGATCTTATAAGGATCGTTATTGTTATTTATTTACGTATTTTTTGCAGGAAGTGACAAAGATGGAGACAAAGTAATCACTAATCATGTCTGTCAACATGGAGGAAAGAGCTGGCCATACTGGTTCAGAAAAATGGGTTACTGAGCTAGTCTGCTGCTATCAGCTGTGCTATGAGACTTAGTGGATAAGGCTATCCAATGATTAAACAACTGGGGCCAGTTGAAAACAGTGTGTGGATTTACCTGTTCTTGCTGTTGTTTCAGAAAATATTACCCTGCTTGGCCCACATACTCTTCAGCTTCAAGCGTTACTGAGTGACAGTTCAACTGCGCCATCAGTTAAGAGTCTTCCAGTCCATCGTATCAAGTTTACTGTTACAGGTTTGTAAAAAATGACCAGCCAGGGACAATTTTAGGTTACATTTACACTAGATGTGACTTTTTTGGATTCGTGACGATTCCGAAAAAATTTGGTTACAGATTCACTTTGTCGTAACACGCGTAACACTGTGAATCCGAAATAAAAACGTCCCGAAAATTTTGAATCCGAAAAGTTTACATTATGAAAAGAATGTTTGATAAATAATTTGCAAGTTAGCTCAAGTGATAAAAGAGTTCAAAATTTAAGTTTGCCACAGGTGAAACCCTTTAGGTTGGTTTATCTTTGTATTAATATTGAACTCAACTCCCACAGTAGATCCACGGGAAAGACTGTCATGTGGAGAAATTGAAAAACACACGCTTAAAATGTTAAATAACAAATTATTGCGGTTTGTCAATTACTGCGGACGTTACCATTATAATTCTTGTCGTTATTAACAGCCTCGTCAGAAGTCATAAAATTTTCCCTGGCATTTTCTTTTTATTGCAAAAACCTTGAAAGGGAACATTGTATTTTTGATCCACCCTGTTAAAATAACTCGTACATCTTTTGTTATCTTGTTCCTTCTTTGTCATTTCTGTTTATTTAGAGGCTCATCCAAACAAATTCACTGTTGGAATGTTGGAAACACCTCTTAGAGTTGGAGTTCCTTTCCAGGTATATTTTTTTTGTTTCACCCCCTTCTCCACCCCGCTTTTGACAGGATGTAGCTCCCGTAGGGGGTAGGGGGAGTTCTTCCTAGTAATAGGTCAATGGGTATTTGCCCCTGGATTGGGTCGCATTTGGGTATGTGCCCCCCTAGATAGGGTCGCGAGGATGTAGCTCCCATAGGGGGAGGGTACTTCCTAGAAATAGACCAGTGGGTATGTGCCACTGGATGGGGTCGCATTTCCACGATTGGGTTGACTATAATTGGGAATAATGGTTTTGCATTTTCAGAAGAGTTACTAGAATTGGGTCTCAGGTTTTCGGGATTTTGAGGGAAAAAATCTTTATAAGAAGGGGCTTAAAAATGGGAAGTTGGGATTGTGAAAATTACATTTGCTTAAAAGTGACTAAGAGGAGTTCATAATTGGCCACAGAATGGCCAACAGTTGTGAAAGGGGTTCTAAGAGGCCAGCAACTCATAATAAGCAAAATATGATCCAAGTACCCCTAGCAATATGTCACTAGAGGGTGGTATCAAGGTTTAGCTAGTCTGAAATGGCAAATATAACATACTATGTTTTCTTGGTGGTTAAGATTCCACTGAATTTGCTGGATGAGTTTGAAAACCCTTCAAAGTTATCAGAGCAAAAAGCACTCGTGTTAAGTGCAAGGTGAGTGTATTTTGATAAATTTTTAATGAAACATGGATTTGTAACCTTGGTGTTAAAGTCAATTTTGCCTTCAACAGAATAAAATAACTTGTTTATATTGTTAGCGGACTGGAGTTGACTCACCAGGGAACATCAGTGAAGGGAATCAGCCTGATCGTTAAGGGTGTGGTTGCCCTTGGTTCTGTACCATCCCATGCAGGAAAGGTGAGGGGATTTTTGGAAAAAAATCTTGGCCGATCTGATTTAATTTCTCGTAATAAAATAGGGTACGACGATATCATCAGTAGCCTTCATGATTCAGAATCTCGAACTTACATTAAATTTATCTGAACAGTTTTTTTTTTTGTTTGCTTGTTGTAAAAGGAGTTTAATCTAAAGATCGCCCTACCAGGACTTGAAGAAGGTTCACAGAGCTTGAAGATCAGGTTACTTCGAGGTACTCTTTTGACGCCATATGTAGGTTGAGTTTGTCTTTGGTTCTCTCCCTTGCTCCGAGAGGTTTTTTCTCCGGGTACTCTGGTTTTTACCTCTCCTTAAAGACCTTCACTTTCAAATTCTAATTCGGTCTAGAACTCACGGACACGTTTCAACGAGTTCTCAAGAACTCCTAAATGCTCCGTGGGTAAACAAATTACAATTTACAATTTTCACCAGCATGTAAATTTTCCCTAAAAAAATGACTCCGAGACTGTCTAAAAAGGATGCCTTCCTTTGGGTTGATCGGGATCAGGATCAGTGATCTGGCATCACTCGGATCATGCTACATTAAATGAAACAAAGAATCCTTTTCCAGAGTTGATTTGTCGGTTCCTCAAATGTGCTATGGTCCAAGTGATCACTGATCCTGATCCGGCTCACCCCAATCGAACAAACCCAGCCTCGTTCCCAGTCGTCCTCGGCGATTTCGGATGTGACGTCACCTGTCAAGCTTGTCGGGAAAATTCGCCTAGGACGCCTGGCAAATAATGGCAAATCCAAAATGGCGGCGTCAAGCCAAGAATGCGACTTCAGCCAAGATTCTTGAAGAAATGAAAAAAAGCGTCGGAAATAGGTTGGGATTCTTTAATCAACGTTTGGCATCAAATACATAGAGATGTTGGAGAAATTTCTTTCAAGGAATCGTTCCGCGTGTACACCTGTTATTATCGTAGGTCAGTAATTTCGAGTTTTAATTGTATCAAAAAATGTGGATTTAATTCAGCGCAACAAATCGTCCCATCTCAGGAGTGTGTTCCATTGCCTCTCGGGAACGAGTTAAACCATGTTGAAGTTCGTGAAAGATGTGTCATCGAATTAGTTCTGTACTCAGCATATTATCTAGCGGATGAAAAACTTGTTAATCGAATCGCAGCACTGCGCGCATTGCAATTCAAGAGAGACTTCTAGCTTAGGTGTCGTCCTAAACGATAGTGGATCAACTCATAGACGCTGCTTTCGTCCATTAAATATACAAAACAGAAGTCATAAAGTGCTGTCAGCCTTTTGAATACGCCTCAATGTGGCAGATACACGCTATAGGGGCAGTTTACAACATACTGAGTAACATCAGGAGCGTTCAAATATCCTGAAACGGTATCAGATGTAAAACACTTTGTGTCCATGCTTTTTAGCATGAACAAAATTTAATTCTATATCCAAGTTATCTTCAACCAGTGTATCTACCCACCATTTAAATGAGATGATCGTTTGGGGACTGTTGAGACCTTTCAGCCAAGCTTTCTTTCTGATTCTATCAATGTCTGATTCTATTGTTGTTGATGTTGCACGACCCCATATCTATGTTCCACTGTACTACTACCTTATGTAAACTTAATCTCAACCAAGGTAGGATTAGCTCAGTTGGTAGAGTGCTTGACTGCAGAGTGGGAGATCAGAAGTTCAATTCCCGGGGTCAGACCAATACCCAGAATCTTAAAATGACTGAGGAATGAAGGTATTACCTTTGCCCTGCTGCAAATGATTAGACCTTTGCGTGGCTCGGATGCATGACCACGTAAAATGGCGGTAGTAGAAGTAAAAATAGTGTCCCCAATTATTACTTTCATGCTGAATACATTGACACTCAAATTAAGTGCTTTCCTTTTTTTATCTCGAACCACTTTCGCAGCAGTGGTCTTCCAGTGAGTCATAATTTTAAAAAGAATATTACATGAGTTTTTGGTGCTATTTTCAAAATAGACAATATTAGAATGTTCTGCATAAACTGGGAGCTGCAAGATACAAGTTCAAGGCACTAGGGTATTATAAAAGGAAAAGAGCATATTCAAACAGCTGAAAATGGCATGTAGCTGGTCCAGCCAATGGTACCATTATGGCATCAAATTAAGTGGAAAAAGGTCTTAAGTTGGTCTTGAAGTTGTTTTCCCAACCCATTCCCACAACAAGCTTTACAAGACAAGAAAAAGTTGTTATCAGGCTTAAAAAATTTCTCTCAACAAATTTCACAAGTGTTCAGAACTATGGCTTGTTAGGAAATCAATCTAATTTCCTTATAAAATCAATAAAGTTTTGTTTGATGAAATCTAAGAAATTCAATATTAAACATCACGGTTTCATATTTTTATTTTCATTTCAAGTTTTCTTCAGCTGAATTACATTTTCCTTTTGCTCCTGTATCCTTTGCATCCCCAGTGTCGTCTATTACATGCTCTCCTTTCATCCCCTTTAAAACTTTCTGAATATTATTGTAAAGGAAGGTAAAAAAATAGACAATATATAATAAAAAACTAAACATTTGATGTACAATACCTTGCTCAGAAATTATGCCTGTCAGGCAGGTAAATTAAGATTAAGTGTCAACTATCCAAAATTTTCCCATCTCTAAAATTGCAACCTCCTTCAGAGTGATTTTACTTAACGCATGAAACAGGAAGTAGAATACTAAGCACTATTATGCACTAATTCTATTGTCTTCTTTTGTTTATTTGTAGCTATATTTTGCACTAGTCGTTACTAAATGTTTCATGGGTCAAGTAAAATCGCTCTAAGTCGCAATCATATAAAGGACTGAATGATAGAGTCATATCATTAAAAATCAGGTAAAACTAAGACACCCGAATATTACATGAGTTACTGGTGCTATTTTCAAAATCGACTATGAGAATGTTCTGCATGAACTGGGAGCTGTAAGGTACAAGTTCCAGGTACTAGGTTATTATAAAAAGCAAAAAGCATATTCAAACAGCTGAAATTGGCATGTAGTGTTTTTTTTTTGGCTTTTCGCGCGAAACCGAGTAAATGATTCTCGTGATTTTTTCCTACCAACGATTCGAACAACAAAGGAAAAATAAGCCCACTATAGCCCTGTAACTAGGAAATCAACGCCCATTTTTTTCAATGAAAATGAAGCCTTTGATACTAGTGTACATAAAGTGTACAGTGATCGTCCCATGCCCAACTACGAAGAAACTTTTTTCTAGCTTCGTGTAGCGAACAAGACTGTAAACATTAACTTACCAGTGTTTTTGGGAAAACATGCCCGCCACACTTCGTTGCTATCAGTTGAAACGGTCCAAAGATGCTCGGAAGAGATGTATTAATCTCGTGAGTCCCAAATAGTCCGTGATCGTCGCAGAAAACAAAGGATTTTCGTTGAGAAATTATCTGGGACTTTTTCTCGTCGATCTGGGACTTTTTTGCCATTTTTTGCCAGGCCTCGCGCTATCGCGCTCGGTTCCAAGCCTCCTCTGGTCACTCGGATAGCGCGAACAGGCCTGGGTACGAGGCTGGAACAAACCTTAAAATGCAACTTAGCTGTAGGGTTTTAATGCTATTAAATCATATTTAATGTAGTTGACGACTAGGAGCTATGGTGTCTAGTGTTTTTGGCGTTTTTGGTGGCGTGTTGGCTGTCTGTAGCGCTGTGGCGTGAAGATGTTTGCGTTTGTAGTGTTAACCATTGTTCGTGAGCGTGGCGGCTGATTCCTGTCCAGCGGTATGTTGTTTTGGCGCATGCGCAGGCCATGTGCCTACGTTTAGCGTGGCGTGGCGTTCTAGTAGCATAGCGTTTCTCTTCCCTCCCTCCGCTTTCTTGGTTTAGGGTCTCGCCCTCCGTCCTGGGTTTTTTTTCTTCGTTTCGGAGGTTTGTTCATTTTACTTCCACTGGGCTTCTGGCCTCAGTGTGACGGGTGCCATAGTGGGGGGCTGGGCGCGGGGGGCTCGTGGCTGGGTTGCGGGTTGGTAGGCCTGTGGGTGTTCTTCATCCTTGGGGTGTGAGCGGTTACAGCCCCCTGGCCCAAGTTAAGGGCACCCAACCTCCACTTGTGACGCGAGCGTTGACTGAGACGTGCACGCCCCCTTCTCACTCCAATTTTTGACGCTCTTTAGCCTGTTTCTGTTTACTGAATCACGTTTTATGCTGCAGGGCCACCAGATTCCCTTGCGGTCACACCAAATGACAGTGAGGTTACCATTGAAAACAACAGTGCCCTGCAGCTACAAGTGCAGGTCCAGGGCAAAGCAGGAAAGCTAACAGTTCAACCAAGGCTTAATGTTGTTTGTAAGGTAACTATGCAAATGTTCACCTCATTGTGATTTAACTAACTGTGGAGTAATTGCTCCTTACTCCTCATATTAGAACTTCAATTTTAAAATGCTGGTTCCACAACTTTGTTAAGGAGTCATGAGGCGTTGAGTATACTCTGTTCAAGCAAATTGACGATTGTTAAACGTCCATTGCAACTACATATTTTGAAATCCCTGATAGCTCTAAGCTTTGGAGAATACACTAAACACCTCATACCTTGTTTTCAACATACGGTAAACTGTTAGTATTATTTTATTTTATGCAAGCTAAATAGAATCCATGATCAGTCTATACTTACTGCTGTCACGATCCCCGTGAATATGAACTTGACCTTGCTTAAGTTTTAGAACCAAAATTTGATTAGAAACTTCACAGATCTTCACATGCAGTGTACTTTGTATGGAGAATAACAAATCGACAACAATTTCCCATGGTCTATTATCTTATCGATCACAGAAATGATGTCAAAATCTTCAAAACTCAAGTGGAACTACGAGCCGCAGGCGAGCTGCAAGTTTTGAACTTTTGATGTCATTTCTATGGTCGATAATTTTACCGACAATGAAAAATTGTCGATTGTGTTTTTCAATAACACCGACGTCCATTTCTGATAATGTTTCTTGGGAAATTATATTTATTTATTTGTATTTATTTATTTTTTAACAAAGAGGTACATTGATGGCGGCCGCCATCTTAAAAGCAATATCCACGATGGTGGGAGAAAATACCATCAATACGCCTGCTTTGCAGTTTACAATTGGCGACAAAATTGTTGCGACATTGTCCTCAAATGGGATAACTTCAGAGAACAAAACAATCCGCACCCCTCCCCCATCCCGTCCATTCAAAGTTGGGGTATTTCTTGTTTTCAACAGGTGGCTCGAACAGCGGCACAACGTTGCATGGAGGGGGTAGGGGAGAAAAAGATTTATTTTTCCCCTTTTAAGTTAGCAAGACGTCAAAGACGCCCTTTAGGACAAAGTGTCTCAACTAATTTTGTGGCCGATTGTAGGAAAATCGCGCGTGAGAGAAAGAGAAAAAATATATATAACGCCATCACTTCATTTCCGAGTCTCATCGAGCACAGCTCTAAACCAATCAGCGTGTAAAAAATCGCTTTGTTATTGTAAAACTTGAATCTGATAAGAAACAACTTGGTGTGTTGTAGGTGACAGGCACACCAGGCTTACCAACTTACATAGGAGACTGTAGTGCATCTGGGAAGGCCTCCCTAACAGGTGAAGCAGATCACCAAGGAAACCAAATTAAAGGCCAAGATAGAGTTACCCCTTTTGGGATTTTCATGTCCGGCTTTGGTGCGATCACCCTGCGTGCAATGCCTCCTTTTGTCGTCTTGAGTGGAAAGGAAAACAGGAGGTTCTGTCTAAATCACGTGATCCCATTAAAGTCGCTGAAGCCAGAATATCTGGACCAATCGTCAAACTGGTTTTCCAAGTGGGAGCGACCGTTTATTGATTAACTGATGGCCATAACTAAGCGCGCTGTTCCGTGTGCACAGCTTTTACGCCTGGGTTCAACACAGTTTATCAGCAATAATTACCTCATGTACAATAACAAGCTTACTCGATTTGTGCAGAGTCTTTCTCAAATACGCCAAGATCGAGAAAGTGAAAGGAAGGCATTGTCAGCAGGGTGTGGTGCGTAGTCATAAAGTTCTTACTGTACATCTCTAAATTGTATCTGGGCGTGGCTGACCAACACTTCAAACCTCAGTATGCTTGTTTGTCGTTTTTGTAAAAACACACAACAGTAGCCCTGATTTAGTGACTGGTTATGATCTTTTAGCATCATAAAGAGGTTGCTGCAGTGGAGAAGACCATTATTGTGACACCCAGTAGTAAAGCAGCAGAGCTGGAAGTGTTTTACAAATTTCCTGATGCGAAACAGAAGAAGAAGCTGGACGATGGACAGGAGCTGCCTTGAACAGCAGGAAACACACTTACTGGACTGAGTATGTGATCAACAAGAAATCAGTGTACTTAGTTTGATATGATTTTTTCCCCCTAGTTTGTCTTAAGTTGCGTAAGGAATTAGAATAGGTAATAGCATGATTTGTAGTGATATTTGGCAGAAATACCACGAATGGTATTTCGAATTTGATATACGTAATTTCACGAGCCTTTAGGAGAGTGAAATTTGGGACTATTTTGAAATATCACGCGTGGTATTTATTCCAAATATCACGTACAAATCATGCTATTATTTGTTTATACTACTACTCGTAAAAGGTTTGTAATTTTCACATTAAGCTGAAATAACACTGCTTTAAGCCAATCAAATAGCAGAAATTTCTTACATAGTAGTATAACAGGCAGAGAAAAAAAAGGTTTGAAAAGGGGAAAGGCATTTAGGTGTGCACCAAAATGCCAATTCATATCATCGAGGCATGACCTCATCAGCTAAAAATTAGGAAGCTTATGCAAGGATGAATAATTAGAAACAAGCAAACAATGGGTGTTGCCTTAACTGAACTCGATAATAATAATGACACGTCACACTTTTTGGTGCAAACGCAAAGGTATTTCCGGTCGTCGCTTCTCTCCACCTGAACAGGAAACACGTCTGCTTTGGTCCGCTATCCTTTGCACAACTCTAACGCGAAATTTCCCGGGAACCCAAATGGGTGACGTGAACATATAAAGGTACATTTTCCTCTTCTTATAACTTTGGAGTGGTCACTTACAATTTATCTATAGGAACATTGGTCGTGAGCAAGTTGCGATCACGTTTAAGTTTGAAAGATCGAGTCTTCACTGTATTGGTGACGTCTTCGAACCCGTCGTCTTCGTGGTTACTTAAACTGTCCATTCGCCTCCTTAGAAACGAGAAGGGGACTTGAGCCCATATGTGTCCGGCAATTGTTTTGGGGATCGCTACTGGGGACACGCCCGTCAGCTATTGGCCATTTTCTTTTTCCCTGTTCTCTGTAACAGTCCAGAAGTCTTTGCGAACGTCAGATTGGTCTAGTTTCCTTCTCAGTGTGTATCAGTCAATTTTCTTCTGGTGTTGGCTTAGTTCAATTTGCAGTGGCATTTTATCTTTAGCCAGCTGTCAGTGGCACGGCCTGGTTTCCTCCAAAGTTGGTTAAATTTAACCCAGCGTAGCCGTTTTCAGGTGATTAGGGACCTTAAGATCCGAGGACGGCGACGGTAGCGCAGACGTCGTTAAAGTTATATCTCTTGTTACAAGGGCAAGTTAATATTACAAATGTAAATGTAGCATCTTGCTGTCACCGGACTTGCGCAGTGCACCTCGTGGAGGTAGGACGTGTTTTTGTGAGCTCCACCAAATATGCTGTTCTAAACGCTTTAATAACGTACCTGTCATGGAAACCTTCAAATAGATATAACCAGAAATGGGGAAGGACAAAGCGGACAAGAATCCGAGCAAAAGGCTGAGAGAAAATGGCTCGCAAACGGATGAAGATGATGAACATGTGGGCGTCGGTGGAGTAATGTCAGCACGCCTTGAGGAAATGAACACTAAACTAGATCAAGTTTTAACAGCGTGTGGTGAAATTGCACTACTAAAAGATGAAATACGCAAGCTGAGAGATGAAGTAAAGAATTTAAAACAATCTTTGCAATCTGCCGAGGAAGAAATTGAAAGTCTACAAGATAGTCAGAAAGAAACTTCTGCACAAGTAAAAGAAAACAATGAAGACATTGACTTCTTGTTCGAGGACATTGGAGCGCTAAGACGCAGAAACATCAAGTTGGAAGCCTATACAAGACGTGAGAATGTAAGAATTTTCAATGTCGGGGAAGAAGAGGATGAAAATACTGAGGAGCTGGTAAGAAGTGTCTTCGTCGCTAATTTGAAAATTCCGGCGGATAAAATCAACGATATCCGCTTTGAAGCGAGTTCACCGAATCTCCACCAATAATTCTAGTCTAAGAGCTCCGTCCTATCCCAAACCAATTATTGCTCGTTTCAGTCATTATCAGGACAAAGAATATGTTCGCTCCTTCTATAAGAACTTAAAAGGAACCAACATCGGTTTCTCAGATGATTTCCCGAAAGAAATTGAAGAAATTCATAGAAAACTTTATCCAGTGCTTAAAAAGGCCAAGCAGGATAAGCAAAAAGCCTTCTTTAATTTTGATAAATTGATAATCAATGGCCAAATATACAGAGGAAAAGAAACTTAAGACCTTCCCTATTATTGTAAAATGGCAAAAAATTATTAATGTATTAATTCCATGATCGGTTTCAAACTGAACAGTGAATCTACGTCCACTAGATGTTAAGAATTTTGTTTAATATCAGTTTATATGTAAATGTACTATGTGTTCTGTTTTGTTTTATTATTTTCTCAGTTGGAGGAGAAAATGTCTTTTGTTTCACTCATTTTGAATGCTTCGTTAAACATTGGAAAGTACTAATCCCAAACAATATAGCATTTTTATAAAACACAACTGAAACGGCAGATTTATTTAAATTAGTTTCTTTGAACGTAAGGGGCATAAGTAATTTTCATAAAAGAAGAACTATGTTCACCTGGTGCCGAAAAAGAAAAGCTGACGTAATATTCCTGCAAGAAACGCATTCAAAAGAGGATTCAGAAAAACAATGGGCAAATGAATGGGGTGGTAAAGCATTTTTCTCACATGGTAGTCCAAATTCATGTGGGGTTGCGATATTGATTAGGAATAATTTTAATTGTGTAATCCAAAAATCCATTGTTGATCCCCAGGGAAGATTCATTATTTTGAAGGCAGGCATTCAGGATAAGGTGTACATTTTAGTCAACATTTATGCGCCAAACAAAGATAAAGTCAGCGGTTATAATTGGAATAACGATGTCAAAATGCCCCTTGTTAAATTATCTGATATTAATTGGTAAATTGTATTTATGGGATTGCAGAAAGAAACAGGTACTTCCAAACATCGCAGGTTTCAAATTTAAAGTAAGAATTAAATACCAAGTTGAAAAATATATATCCACTAAGAATAATAAATTAGAAACCTTTTATGAAAAATGGCCAAAAGACATTTCTCCCCTTTAATTAAGTTCGTGAGTATGTAATTAAAAATGTAATCTTTTATTAGACACTTTTTTTTGTTTTTTTTTTGTATTTTTGTATTTTTTATTTTTGTATGTGTGGTTATGTTTTTGTTTTTATTTCAGAGCGTACTGTAAATATTAAATGTTAATCTCTCTTTTATCTACATAATTAAGTATTAATTAATTCTTTGTAAAATAAGCCTCATTGGGCAATTGCGCGGCTGTTTTGTGGCTGTAATGTATATAATTGTGAAATGTAGATAATTTTAAATATGTCTGTTATTGCGGTTGTTTAGAACTTTGTAATTATTTTCTTTTTAAGTAGTTCTTTGTAATTATAGTAATAAATGTCTTGAATAAAAAAAAAAAAAAAAAAATCTTGCTGTCACCGACAGGTTTTAGAATTCTGGATGAAGGACAGAGAGAAGTAACAATAGACAACTCCCTAGCCAGCAGATTAAAGGTAGATCCAAGAGAGGTCTTAGTCACTCCAAATGGAAAGGATATAAATAATTTAATTTGCTCCTCTGTAAATATCCTTGTGAAAGTCCTCGCGACAGTTAACTTGACCCATTTTCTAAAGAAGCGAATTAAATTTTATACCAATAGTCCATTTTCGGGTTGCCGAGCAAACCATCAGGTCTTTGTCAAAGCAAGGCTTGGTCCTTAATCATCCATGCGAACATTAGTTTAGTTGATCTGCGTGTGAATAAAAACTTATTTTCATAATATATAGGTTTAGCCAGGGCCAAAGGCGAAGCTCCCGTTAATGAAAAAACTTTTCAATAAAGAAATCTAATTAGGGTTGAGCCTGCGATCATTTGAAAACTGGATACTTAAAAACTAAAAAAACTTAAACGTAAACTTAAAAAAAAAAACAAGATGTAACCCCGATGGGTCGACATCTGAGCCAGCGATACGGTCAGGTGATACTGGTCAGCGGATACTTTTGTTTTGACAGCTGTCAACTGACCACAACATGGATGTGGAATATCAAGTTGCAGGATCCCAAACTAGCTAGAAAGTGTACCATTTCACATCGGTTTCCCTGTGGTGCGGGCGGGAGGGCGGGTGGACATACGGTCACTTGACTACCAAAATTTTTCGGATGGGTAGGTAACCAAATTTTTTTAGCTATGGGGCTTCGCTATGAAATGACGAGTAACAGGAGTTTCTTTTATAAAGAGGCTGAAGGCAATCGGAAAAGGCCTACTGTAGAACACGAGTAGCCACCTACAATGTGAGAGCAGTCAGAGACAGAACATATCAATAAAGGAAATTGGACAAAATAGCGTAATCCACTAGGTCAACACGTCAGCTCAACAATCAAGGCTCTTTAGGAAATAGGAATAACACACCATCATCACATAAGGAAACTTAGTGCGCTCTCCATCTCAATTGGCCTGCCAGACCAGCCCACTGCTATTGAAATTTCCAGCGTCAATCAGATCTGGCCAGCCAGAATAGTTTATTTTTAAAATCTGTAAACAGCAGTGTTGGTTTTCTGCTGAAAACTCGAAAGAATGCCTACTCTATCGTTTTCAAGACGAACGGTCTTGACTTTTGGTCCGACTTTTGGTAAGCGCCCTTGGTGTGAATTAGCAGTTGTAAACTGTTACTGTTTATCAATGTAATGAATTGTCTTCTTTTGTCTCCAGGTTAACTGGACTCCAAAAGTTGCCAAAGACATCATCAAGCAAGGGAGTCTTCCTGATGTGAAGGTAATTAGAGGACTTCGTGAAAATAAGTTTGTCGGTGACAGTTTTAGCTTCCATGGAGCAAGGTGGCACAGTTGGATAGTGCGCGGCCTTCGGTGCGTGAGGTCCCCGGTGACATCACATCCTTGATTCATCTTCTTTCCTTTCTTTGTAGTTTTAACTAGCTTTAAATGCCCTTAAAATGGAGCGCTGATGGAGAAGGGGGGAGGGGCAGGGCTGTGCTCTAGTAGAGCCCGAGCCCGGTGGCCCCTGGCGCCTAACGTTTGCTCCCGGGCGACTAGAAAATCTCAGATTTTTCATACAATTCATACGCTGGGCTAATCATATGCTACAGGTTCAGAGCACTGTGCTTCCTTCAATTTTCCTTAGACCACAGTAGGAGGTATCGTCTGCAAAGAGTCTCATGGAGAAGAAATCAGAAGATTAAGTAAAGTCGTTTATATATATATCAAGAATAACAACGGTCCTAAAATTGATCCTTGAGGTACACCAGAAGAAATTGGCATGGTGTCAGAAATGTTACCATTTACAAAAACTCTCTGCTTTCTTTTATTAACATACGATTTGAACCAGTCGATATGAGGTTTTTGAATGCCATAGAACGATAGCTTTGATAATAAAATCGAATGATTGACGGTATCGAATGCTTTACTCCAATCTAAAAATATTGATACAGCATAATCTCCTTGATCTAGAGAGGTAGAGATTTCTTTAATGAGATCAACAAGACAGTCCACAGTGGTACTGCCTGGCTTAAACCCATATTGAGTAGGAGTGACAATATTTTCAGGCGAAAAATAAGATACAAGTTGATTATAAATACATTTTTCAAAAACTTTACTTAAAGTGCTACTACGACGAAAATTTTTGTTTTTGTTTCCGAGTTTTTTTAACATAAATGTTTTGTATATGTTCAAAATTATACAAATAGCAAAAAATTGGAACGATACTTGCGTACGGGGGCTGGAAATTTCCCACTGAAAAGTGCGTAAATACCGTCCGCCATTACAAAGTTCGCAAAGCAATAGCCCGCGAGATCTCCGCAAAGCGGTCGTGCGTTTGACCACGTGATTTATGCACTGTGACGTAGAAACATCAACCAAAAGATTCGTATTTGGGAAAAGTTTGTGAGTTTACAGCCTTTTAACAAGACGTTTAAGATGTTATCTCCGTCGGATTCCTCTTCCTGCACATCTGAAAGTGATCTAGAAAGTTTTACAGTTGACGAGGTGATTGGGGAATTGTCTGAATTTGCGCCGTACGACGACAGTTGCGAACCCCTTGCTACCGAGGAAGAAGCCGCGGACTACAAAGAAAGAGTTCATCGCCAAGAAGAAGAGGAACAACAGTTCCAACGAAGATATTCGGGAGAGGTGCCAGCGAATGAATGGTATGGTATTATCATGGAATGTAGATTTATATTTTTATTTTCCAATTTCAACATACCCGTCGTTCAATCGTGCGCGTGGCGAACGCGACTGTGTGTTTTGTTTAAGTTTACAATTTCGTTGCTATGTGATTAGCTGTAGTCCTGATTTTATGCGATAGTTTTATTGAAGAGGTCAGACAATTAATAATTTTATACAGACGTATTTTTCTTGTGTTTGACGAATTTTTCACATTATTTTGCAGGTGTTCGTGCTCGAACTGCTCTGTCAGGCTTGTTACAAAAGCGCAGGAGTGCATTTGCTGCAAAGAGATCGATCGTTGCGAAGAGGTCATGGAAGAAGCCATTGGAGACCGGACCGTATGCATAACCCTCCATCCAGGGTTTGAAAGCGTCTGCTTAAACCGCCACGTATTAGACGTGGCTGCACTGGGCCTAAAAACGCGAGCTGGAAAGTCGCACACAACTGTTCGTGGGCAAAGCAACAAAAGTGATAATGAGTAAGTTTGGGTTTTGTTGACTTTGCATCGGAACGATCGAACCTTACATAGCATTGAATAATTGATACATCTAAGCTTATCGCCGTGGACTGATCTCATAGAATCACATTTTTTATTTTCTAAATGGCTTATTGCCCCAACTGCTTATTTTTAAAAGGAGTATTTATTTATCTCCATCCAATCCCTCTTTGAATTAACAGTGATCTCATTTCTCTAACTAGATTCCTGAGGTCTGTGGCCTATCGCCAATTTACAAGACTGCTGTGGAGTTATATTGGTTGTTCCAGGCGATACCCCTTACCCTGTTGTGCCTACAATAAAATCAGGAAACAATTTCCGAGTCAAAATGGCCATTATCATGGATTCGAAGATGAAGAAAATGAATAGTAAATGCACTGTTTGTTCTTGAAGA